TATCAGTTACACACACAGCAGTTACGGTAACGTTCTCGATACCCTCTTGCGTCACGTGCTGTACAACTGTACCATTGATGAAGGCCGGAATAAACATAGATGTACTAGGACTGGCGGTCACGGTCGCACTAGGACTGGCAGTCACAGTTGCGCTCGGGGTTGGCGTCATACTTGGGCTCGTAGAAAGAGCAGCTGGCTCACTCGAAGGCAATGGTGTGAGTGACGCCGTATGGCTGGGAGATGACGAAACTGAAGCTGATGATGAAGGAGATGGTGAAGGTTCAACGCAGGTAACCTGTGAATCGTTCACGTCGAGATCCACCGAATCGCCTCCCTCTGAGATCGAAACCTCACACGAGTCTTCTTCTGGCACATTATAAAATACGTATTCTCCGTTCTCATCAGTCACCGTACTCGCACTGAAGCCTTTATCGCACGTTAGGAAGACAGCAGTGTTGCTTAGCGGCTCAAGAGTGGTTAGATCCTTAACGATTCCATGAATACAATCACCCAATGCTGATGCACTTGGGGTCACACTTGCACTCGTAGTAACGGTCGCGCTTGGGCTGGCAGTCTCAGTTGCACTCGGACTAGCGGTGACAGTTGCACTTGGCGTCGGGCTCGGAATCGGCAATTGGCTGGCAGTCTGTGAGCTAGTTGGCGATGGTGATGCGTCCTCCCCAGTGCACATGCAACACTCTAAGCCCGATTCACATTTGTTCGCTCCACCCGTCAAGTGCGTGCACTGGCCATCCTCCACATACTGTATACCTAGAAGCTGACAAGTGATGTCACACTCCACGTTACAGTTATCTGCACATACACCAGGACATATACCATCAGGACTGGTTGTCGGGGTCGCTGAAGGCGTATGACTTGCAGACCCAGATGCGGTTGGACTAGAGGAAGGAGGATTGCGGTAGATGAAGTCAACATCCTCCACAACGGGCTCCTGGATTGTGGGGAAAACCATGGCCTCGTTGAGTGGGTCCGAACTGCCGTACCCTTCAACAATAGGTTTTTCATTCGCGATATCAGGAACATAAACCAGATAATCGCACATGGGAACGTCGGCAAATATATACTGCCCATTGATTCCTGTTTCAGTTGTGAACATGATGGATGGTGCTTCTGTGCAAATGATCGTCACAAAAACATCAGGTATAGCAGTGTCAATGTCCTCGTATGTATGCCCAGAAATAGTCGCCACTTGGGTATACGAGAAATCCACGTCACCCACTGCTAGTATTGTGCTATTGATTACTACGGTTGTAGTATGCAGTGGATTGGTCCCATCCACAGGTCCATCGAGCGGACCTGTATAGATAGGACCCGCAGTGTCGACCGATGTTGGTGCAACAACCAGATAGTCACAGAACGGGAGATTCGTGAATTCGTACTCGCCAGCCGCATTAGTTACATTTGTGATCGTCACATCGGTTTCGGCGCAAGTGATGGAAACTGTCGCATTCTCGATACCGGTTCCGGGAACAAAATCGAAGAGTTTACCAGCGATAGTACCTTGAGGCAGATACTTGAATGTACGATCGGTAACTTCACGTACACTGTCACTGATCTCTACTTCGTGTGAGAAAAGCAACGTGTCATTGTCCATCGGACCGAAAACAATAGGTCCTACAGAGTCCACACTCGATGGCACAGATACAACATAATCACAAGGTTCTAAGTCAGTAAACTCATAGAAACCGTTGGAATCTGTGTTCTTGTTGACAGATAGCCCTAGTTCAGTGCAGACGAGATTGACCGGAACATCAGCAATCGCATAATCGTCAAAGTCATTTAAAGTAAATCCAGATATGGTTCCCAATGGAATGAACTCGAAATTAGCCTGCCCGGTACGCGCATTATCGTCAATCTCCACAGCAACATCAAAACTAGTGAAAACATCCAGCTTCGTGAACCCAGACACATTTTCAACCTCCATGGGAACACCCACGATGTATTCACAGTCATCCACATCTACAAACGAGTAAGTGCCATTCACTCCAGTCACGGTCGTATCGTCCAGTGATGGATCAGCGGGGCACGTGAGCGTAACTGTAACCCCTTCGAGTGGTGTGAGGCTGGTGTGTTCAATGACCATACCAAAGATTGTGGCTGGTACCACAGTCGAAGGACTTGCACTGGTCGATGCCGTCGGGCTGGCGCTACCAGTAGGCGTAGCACTAGGACTCGGCGACGGTACCAAATAGTAATAAAAATCAACGTTCTGTTTATCCGGTGAGTTGATAGTTAAAATCACATCGGCAACATTCAAAGTATCATCACCATCATAACCGCTGAAGATTGGGAGCCCGTCGACAACCTCGGGAACGGTTACTATATACGTGCAAACAGGCATATCGGTGACCTCATAGTCACCCAGAACACCCGACGAGTTCGTAGTGAAAGTGATATTCTCATTCACACTGCACACTAGGTTAATTGGCACGTTTTCAATACCAGCGGGTGAACTTAGGTCCCACTCAATTATATGACCTGAGATGCTGCCCAGCGTAGTGTACTCGAAATCCACGCCACCATGAGCACGAATGTTCTCATCAATCACCTTCGTGGTGATAAAGAGGTCGTCCTCCTCGTCTACAGGACCAAGATAAATAGGACCAACAGCAGTTACCTGCTGCGGAGCCAGAATAGCATAGATACAATAGCCGAGCTCGATAAACTCATACGCACCATTCGAGTCGGTTGCCATCGTAAAAGTGATACTTTCGTCTTCTAAGCACGTGATAGTGACATCCTCGCCAACAATGGGCTCTTTAGTGACGAAGTCTCGCAGAACACCTGCAATGGTACCCTGAGGGAGGTACTTGAAATCAACATGTGTGAAGTTACGATTCACACCCTCGATTTCGACCTCATGGGATTCCAGAGGCGACGACCCGCCAATAGGTCCCTCCATAATAGGCCAGTCATCCTCGACCATCGTGGGCACACTGACAGTATATACACACTCCGGAAGAAGATCAAAGAGGTAATAACCCTCCGCGTCTGTTTGCCTCTGCTCCGTTATGCCGCTGCATTCAAGTGTCACCGTGACATCGGGGATTGGGCTCTGATCAAAGTCATTCAAAGTATACCCAGAAATGGCTCCCAAAACGATATATTCGAAGTCAGCCACTCCGACACGTGTGTCTACATCAATCAGGACATCGACGCTAGAGTTGGAGTAGACAGTAACCTTCGGGAAACCAGAGACATCGTTCGCCACGAGTGGGACGTAGACCATATAGGCACAATCTGGTGCGTCTTCTAGGAGGTAGGCACCGTTGCTATCCGTAGTCAGCACGACATTCAAATTTGAATCGGTGGCACACTGAATGGCAACTGGAACTCCCTCAAGTAGGGTGCCGCTTACATGCTCAGTGATAACGCCCGATATTCTGGATGCAACGAATGTAGACGAAGTCACACTCGGAGTGAAAGACGGGCTCGCGGACTGACTTGGAGTGGTTGTATCATCTGAACAGCCGAACGCGCGAATGTTATCGACTCCAAAGTTTACATCACCATGTACACCTGATCCGACATAGTCGATTCTCACGTATCTGATGATCTCTGTGGTTGTGATAAGGAACTCCCATGGATGAGACTTCCAAACATTCGCACTACAATCAGCCGTTGAAGCACGTGGACTGAGTTGTGAGCCAATCTCTTGCTTCGCGGCGTTGAACGCTGTGACCTTGAATTGGTCTTCGCGCCCGGTCGCTTCGTCCCCATCAATGTCGTATATGTTTCCGGCTACTTCAGTAGATCCCTCCAGAGTATAGGTCATGAGCAAACTGGGCTGCATATTCATCTGTGCCCCTTCCCCTACTCCGTTCAAACGCAGAAAGTATTCGCCAAGAGTATTCCCTACATCCTGATCATAACTAAATGTACACTGACTATGGAAACCTTGCGGATCTGCGTCGTCCATACCAGCGCGTTCCATAAATGGTGTGAAAGGATTTGCAGTATTAAAGGTACCGTCGAAAACGGCGCTGAACTGCACACCATCGTATAGGTATGTATCGTGCACAGCCTCGTTATCCAACACAATGCTATCTTTGCCAGAGGTTGGAGGACCTTCAAAATCAATAACATTATCGTGAACACAAAACGCCAAACCCGTCCGTGATGGAGTCGCGCTTGGTGTAGGTGAAGCCTCAGCAGAGGCCGAAGCTGTTGGTGTCGACGAGATGGATGGTGAACCAGTTGGTGCCGACGAAATGGATGGTGAACCAGTTGGTGCCGACGAAATGGATGGTGAAGATGTTTCTGATGGCACCTCTGGCTGTTTAGTTGTACTAGCGGTTGGACTAGCAGAATCGGAGGGTGGTACTGCTGTTGCACTGGCGGAATCGCTAACCGTTGGGGTTGGTGATGGCGATATAGTTGTGTGCACTGGTGAGGACGTTGGCGACGGCGCCGACGATAGCGACGGCTCTACGTACGACGGTGAGGCACTCGCTGACTCCGATGGTGATGGGGAAACAGCAGTCGGACTTGCGGAATCCGAAGGGTATGACATTGGTGATGGCGTCGCAGAGGGCGATGCTACCGGCGTAGGTGTCCCAACCGGCGTGGGTGTCACATCTGACACAGAAACACCACCAGGCGTGCGTGGCCCATCTATTCTGGCACTGATGATTTGTCCGCCGCCTGAGTTGAAATGGATCGAAAAAGCAGGAATGTCAAAACATAACAAATGCCAACAAGATGTAAATCGCGAAGCTTGTATACCAAGTGGGATTGCTTCGAAATTAGAAACGTTTAGGCGAAGTTATATGAATCACTCATTCTCTATACGGCAACTACTACACAACTACTTACAATACGTAGCGTCTGTTTTAATTCAGAACTATTCATATGATTTTGTCCATTTCAGACAACAAAGAACTGTCATCATAGTGTGGATTTAGATTGGCCGCATACACATAATTAGCTACTATCAACAAGTGAAATATGCGTGCAAAACCTATTCAGCCGCTCTAAACTTTTACTCGCAACTTAAGCAGTTGACTAAGAATTAGTTGACGTGAAGCTGCGAACAATGGATGCAATTGATCATACTGTACACAAAAACGTGCCTGAAGCATACATGGTATGAATAATGCACTGGGTAGGTGGTCATGTACAAATAACAGGTTGATATGCAGTAAAATACCATAGCCTCCACATACACAGAAACGAAAACGTGCACGTACACAGGAAAGAAACATCGTTCAACAATAGTATCGGATTGCCACTAGCTGCTTTTAATTTTTTAAAGAACCAAGAACACCGAACATAGCATAAATACCCAACTCCCTAACTCAGATACACAGCACTATACTTCAAACAAAGCGCCATTGAATACCTGTATGTTAAATTCTAATTTTAAAGCCACCAAAGCTGCATCGAGCAATTGATGATTTTCAAAATGGCTAAATATACCGAACACAGCATACATATCCATCTCCACAAGTTGAATGAACAGCATTATTTAAATAGAAGGCACACTAAAATTCCTTCTTAGTTGATCCTATTTTTGAAAGAGTCATCCTCAACGAGCAGTTGTTGAATCTAAATTCTAAAATGGTTAACAACACCGAACATTGCATGCAAAGCCACCAATTCTGCTTTGTTGATTTCTAAAATGGCGGAAAACACCGAACATAGCATACATATCCGACTCCCTATATTTAATGAATAGCATTATGTTAATAGAAAGTACACTTAAATCCTTCTTAGTAGATCCTAATATTGAAGCAGTCATTCCAACGCACATTTGTCGATTTCTCAAATCTAAAATGGTTGAGAACACCGAACATTGCATACATACTCAACCCTACCTAAGTCAAATATAGTGTAATTTATGTAAGAAATGTAAGTCTACAATCATATGCAGAATATGGCAGCCCGACAAGGATACATTCGCACATAGAAAATCAGCAATGCGTTCGTAACTTACCTCCAAGTTGAAACATACAGAAAAAGGCGATTGCTCGTACAACACACCATGTATAGTAGTAAACTACAAAAATCACGTGGTATCCAACTATTGATTAAAATACACAGAAGTACATCATCCAATTGTAAATATTCTGTGATATATCCAATACACACAATCATGGGCAGCTGGAACCAACCACTGAGCTTTCAAACACGAACACCGTGCTCGACGATATTTTAGAGCGAGACGTAAAAACCATTCACTTACGTTTACGAGCGCAGCAAGTACCACTTGCGGCATCAACCGTTCGTAGTAAAGATAAGATGAATAAAACAATAAGTGAGGAAACGGATACCCTCATCGGGCTTCCCATCAGTGAGGGGCGCATGGTTTAAACCCCTCGCAAAGCTTTAAATAAGCTATGAGGCTATAATGGTTGAAAGTTGGTTTTAAGAATATCTGTATGAGTTAGTCTGTTTCTAACAGATGTACAAGTCTCACTAATTTTAGCTCACAGTGATGAAAGTGGCCTTATTTCAGACTATAGCGTGCATAATAGGTTAATCTACCTCTCTTCATGTGGCGGATTGTACCTCCTCAACATGTAATACTACTCAAGAGTTGTTCATGAACGCTGTAAATGTTATTCGTTTGTGGAAAAAAATCTACAGAATAAAAATACAAAACATTGTCTATATTTCGTTTTGTATTTTTAAAATAAAAACAAAATAAATGGGTCTCTTGTGATAAAAATCATATTTTTTTGTTGTTTATTTTACAAAACACAAAACACATTTATTGCTAAAAACCTAAATTTCACGAGAAGGCAATGAAAACATATATTTATGTATACTTTTATTCCTTTTTTTTAGATAAATTTGTAAAATTTGTTTTGGCTCTTTTTCTATTAAAAAACGAATTTGTTTTTTTTTATAAAAAGAACATAAAATACACCCAAAAAAAACATATCATTTTCTTTTTTTTTAAAGACTAATCACAATAGACTTCGATAGATATCTATACAAAACTATTTATTTCAAAATAATTATTGCATTTTGTTTTATTTTTTTAACAAAGTGGTTCCTTGGTCTACTAGCATTCATCCAATGGATAATAAGAATTCGGGAGAGAGTAATCTTAAAGCTCTCGCGGTAAACTGAATATTTCTAAGAGTTAAAATCTCAAACTCTCAAAGAATAGTATCGAAATCAAGCCTAAAAACAATCGAAATCGTCAACTCGAATTACTCGATGTCTGACAAAAGTCGAAAGTCAAGACAACAACGTCGATTTTAACAAAGGACCAAGAGAATGACTCTTTCTATTTTAGAAGCCAATATATTTCTATATATATTTACTATTTTGATATAAATATATCAGTATATTCTATACCTTAAAATACCATATCTAATCACTTCAAGACAATATGCAAATTTTCTTTAGTTTAAGTGGATTTAAAAATTATCAATCATGTGTATGATCCTCAGATATATATATCAAGTTTTGTGAGACATCACTGACTTACCATGTTTAAAGTAGCTACTAAATAAAAACAATTGCGTTAGTTTCATTGATTGCAATTGTTTATCATTTTTTACAATAATTTTTTTAACAACCCCAAATCAAAGTTGACAGGTCTTATTTAACTTAACTTTTTTAGTCTCACAAGAAGTCTCAGAGACTCGGACTCTCAGCTCTCAAGTCTCACAAGTCCTGATCAGCTCAGGTCTCAAGTCTCAACTCCCATACCATAATATTCTTTTTATGTATTGTTTTATAGAAAATTTAAAACGCATAGAATTCAAATTTGCATTGCGTTAAAGTTTATTTTGTAACGTTTTGGTAGACTAATAAGGTCGCCCCGCCTAAAATGTGATGTACATCTACAATAGCGTTTACTCTGTACAGTGTACACCCAGATAGTAATGAGGCCTCAGGGGGTTTTAGAAACTTTTTAAAGCAATGCCAAGGAGTGTAGTGAAAATAGGTCTGGACTCTGGAGTCTGGACTCGTGGAGTCTGGCGCCGCGTCTTCTCGAGTCTCGACACACATACTATTTTTTATTTATTTTTAAACAATTCTTTGTGTGCTCGACCATAGCCTCATGAAAATTACACAGGGATTTTTTTCAGAAGGCTATCGCTCGACAGGGGACTAAAGAGTAACTACTGTCAACATTTTTTACAGTAATTGAAAAAGGCTTTCGACAATGAAAATTATGTATTTATTTACGGCTGTATAGGGCAATCGCCTTAAAATAGGGTCGGAAACCACCCCTACTTTGCCAGGGTGTGGAACTCGCAATACTTGACCAAATCCTGATTATAATAGCGGAAATTGGTTAGATCAATTAGGGAAGAAAAATCACCCGGACAGATTTTTTTGTCATGCACTTATTTCTTGACTCGATCCTGAAAAATTTGGCCGTTGTCCCCACAAGACCCACTTGCAGTCTGAATTTTGGACTTTTGAGGCCAGATTTCGACATGCCGCGCCATCTCTAAAGTCGGTCGAAGTGTCAGAAGTTTGAAAATGCTTTTCGTTCTGGTCTAAAAGTGTGCAAACAATATCTGTGAGCCCCAGTAGCAGTATCAATAATACAGTTTATACCAACTTGTAGTGTATACACATATGCCATCGCAAAAGTCCAGGCATCTAAGTGGGGGCAGGAATACGAGAAATTCACGGCGTGCTCCTGATAGTCGATTCCGTCCTGTCACACAAGACGAGGAGTAAGTACCTGATAAAGAGACAGAAGCAACTAGTGACAGCGATGAAGACGTTATCAAGAATGCAGACAGTGATGCACTTCAGCGTCAAGTTGTTGAGGTTTTAGCAGAGGCTGCGGTGAGGCCGAAGTTGCCAAAGGGCAAGGTGATAAGTGTTAAGTTAGGTCGTGTTCCTGAGAAAGTGTATGAAGTTGTTTCAGCGGAGATAGCTAGTAAGGAATAAATAAAGATGATATACATACGCACCTCTACTATCCTTATTCATCTCAGACATCATTTTGAAATATTCATAAAAACTTGTGGCCATGATCTATAAGAATATTGGCCGTCCCAGCCCATAATGACCGGTCCAGGTCACCATATTGACCACATTGATTTTAACCGAAATTTTCTATTGCAGTTTTGGCTTCTTTACATCAGGTCGATCACCAACACGAAAACCGTTTTCCCAAATCCAAATTATTTTACCTTCAAAATCGGAGTTGAAGAAATAATTTCGTGCCCTATTTGAAGGCGATTGCACCATACACGAGTTAAAATTATACAATTTTTATTAAAAAAACCCACAAATAGACTCGTGTATTCTACAAGTTCTTTGAGACTTGAGGGGATTGGGGAGAAAGTCTATAGCTCTGTACTCAGTACTCACCACTCACCACTCACCACTCACTCACCACTCACCACTCACTCACCACTCACCACTCACTCACCACTCACCACTCACTCACCACTCACCACTCACTCACCACTCACCACTCACCACTCACTCACCACTCACCACTCACCACTCACCACTCACTCGCCACTCACCACTCACTCACCACTCACTCACCAGTCACCACTCACCACTCACTCACCACTGTCACCAGTCACCACACCTGCCCGTGCGCGAGTGTGCGGCTAAGCGGCTGTGCGCCTGTGCCACTTATCATCTTCTTGTGTATTTAGCTCATTGCGCGAGCTAATAATAAATTTAAATAGTGGTACTGTTGTTTGAAGAGTTATGGATGTAGCCTGTTGCCTGTTGGTATATAGGCTAAAAATACTGTAACTTGCTT